TCAATACTCTTTAGACAATCAAGCCAAAGGGCCACCTAATGGGACCTTAGTGCCTAATATTATTTGGGACTTTTACTGTGAGTGACTGGGGAAGCAGAAAGGGATTCCCATTCCCTATTTCTCGGCTCCAAGCCCTGTTTGTTTTTGTCTGGTCTCCCCAACACATCCATTGTGTAAATGTCCTGTCTTTTAAGCTACCATGGATGGATCTGTAAGTTTTTTACACAGTGGGAGCTATGAGCGAGACCTAGCAGGAGCCAGAGAAAGCAAAGAAGTAGAAGGAGTAGGCCAGCTGCAGCACGCACACACCCTACACACACTCTTCACTGGCTGAGGCTTTTCTCAGTTCCCTCCTGCAGCATCCTCTGTCTATAGCCAGGACTCAAAAATTTCCTATCTCCAACCTTCTTTGTTCTCAACTTACTAGATGTGGTTTAACAGGGATCCAGGTATCTTTTAAGTGTGAGTGGCATTAGACCATTGTTTTATGCTGTCCCATTTGAATTAAAAATCTGGCTCTAGAGTTAGGGTATGGCTCCTACTCCTCTAGCCAAAGCATGTTTGTTTGAAGACTTCTTCCAAGATTTCTGTATCAGGGAAGCCATCTGCTCTGCGACAGAGAAAAAAAAAATAAATAGACTATTCCCCAAAGGGACTGTTGATACTCATCTCATATTCTTTTGGTTTTGGGTTAGCGCTCTAAAACTTTTGCTAAGGTATAAATCTTTATCTCAAGATTATGTAAACTTCCTTTACCTCAAGATTTGTAAGAATGTTGGATTATGATTAAAACTCTGTAAAATCTGTAACAAAAGGATTCATTTAAAACTCATGAACACCAGGATTGATCGTTAAAAACCTATGCATAAGTAATCTTAAAGAAAACGCGTGGCTTGCCGCCACCTTAGCTGCTGTCCCCACACTGGGATGGAGGTAGCCACATGACTGACAGCCACCTTTGCAAGGTTTGTAAGGTTGGACTTTGCCTTGTGACCTCACTCCCATCTTGATGAAAGTGACCCCATGACATAAGCCGCTCAAGGAAAAGCAATAACTCCTCTTACCTGTGAGCTCCAAACCAGATGGGTTCTTTAACTATTTTCAATCACACTAATGACCCACAGTCCCTTCTCTTCTTCTCCGGCCTCTCTGGTTTCCCTTTCTCCCTTCTCAGCAACAGGCTGCCCACTCAGTCAGGGCTGAGGCAGTCCCTGACCAGGACCCTGAATGGAATTACAGTACTCCTGGGTTTATCCTTGCTAGGGATTGGTTTGTAACTTGCCTCCTGGCTGGCCAACCTTAAAGAGGTAAGTTATGAAAAAATCCAAGAGGTCATCCAGAATAAACATGAGAACCCCACCTCGATTCCTAGACCGCCTCCTAAAGGCCCTCTTACAATATACCAATCTGGATCCCGAGCCCCCAAATGGAAAACAGCTGATGGCCTACTCCTTCTCCCAGAGTTTCCCTGATATTAGAGCCAAACTTAAACATCCACAGGCAGAAGTCTTAGCAATGACCTTTAAGGTGTACCATGGGAGAGACAAAAAAGCTGGAAAACCAAAATACCTGATGCGAGCGAAGGCCTTTTGATTGGCCTTAGCAACTCCCAAACCTGCGAGCCTTCAGGTTCCTGTTTCAAATGCAGTCAGGAGGGTCACTAGGCCCAGGCCTGTCTGATCCCTCAGACACTGCCCAGACCATGTCCCAGGTGCCATAAAGAAGAGCATTGAGGTGTTGACTGCCCCCATGGCCCTCATGGCATGGGGACATCAAACCCAGACAGCCCTTCAGCTGACCTCCTAGATCTGTCTATGGTCAACTGAGGGGCCCAGGTTCCCTTGGCCCGACCACTGCCACCTCTCACCGGGAGCCTCAGGTAGGCATCACAGTGCCAGAGCTGTCTCTCTCTCTCCTTCTGGATACCGGGGCCACCTATTTAGTCCTGATGGAGTTTTAGGGACCCACATCTTCTTGTTCTTCTATTGTCAGGGTAGGGTTACAGCTTTTCTGGCCTCATCAAACCCCGTGAAATGTATCACCCAGGCTCAGTACCCACTCTCTCTCCATGGTCTCAGTGCACTTGAGCATCTTATCTCTGACCTTCTAAGAAGGGATCTACTATGCCCTTTGGGCTGCCAACATGTGGGCATATTCCTTCCAGGGCTCCACCCATGTGCAATTGTATTTACTAAGACACTTGTGCTTCTGCTATTTTCCCGTCCATCTGCTCTAGCCACTCACCTCTCCCCTTCTACTGGGTAAGTGCCACTACAGACTCCCTGCTTGGTTTACTTTTATTATGAAAACCGCACAGGTGTGCCAGGGTACCTTTCCCTTCAGAGCTGCAGGTACTCCTTGACCTCTGACTGCCAGGGTACCTTTCTCTTCAGAGAAATGTAACACATTTTGGTGCTGAAACCAGAGGCTGATTACTTCCCCAGCCTTTTATTTTTTGAGAGAGGGTTTCTCTGTATAACAGCCCTAGCCGTCCTGGAACTCACTCTGTAGACCAGGCTGGCCTCGAACTCACAGAAATCTGCCTGCCTCTGCCTGCTGAGTGTTGGGATTAAAGGCGTGCGCCACCACTGTCTGGCTCTCTTACTAGTTGTACCCTGCCTTATAAACTTCTTGTCTATATTTCTTCAGTTAACAGATTCAAAAGATCTCTAACCAGACTTTTAATCAATTGCTGTTACAGGATTACTGGCCCCTAGCTACAGAGCCAGAGGCCAGGGACTCCGATTACATACTGAAGGCAAAGATCAAGTTCATCCAAAGGGCTTCAATGCCCTTATTCTGCAGGAAGTAATCTAATGATAACACCGCCCCCTTTCCCATGGCCTAATCGTTTATCAATAATGAACAAAAACGGGGGGGGGGGGATGTAAGCCCCTTGAGCCACACCAGTAGCCAGGCCACTGCCCTGAGGACTTCTAACTACTAGGTTGCACCCACAGAATACTCTAACTGCCCTAACTGCTGGACCCTGACCCCACCCTACAGAATTAAAAGCCCAATCTCTGAACACAAAATCCCACCAATCTCCACCCTGGGAAGCACCACCCTGCAAAGTTCCACCCTCTTCCCAAGAAACTCTATATAAGCCCTATATCCTGTTCAGTTTGCCACTGTTTCTCATCCCAGCAGAGGCAGCCATCCTCCTGTTTTTTTCCTCCTGATAAATCTCTTGTATGAGGTTTGTTGTGTGATGTGACTTCGTTGTATTCTTTGGCTCTCAGCTGCCAGGGTACATTTCCATCCCAGCTGTAATGCTTACAATAGGAACCTGTAAAATGGATATTTTGTTTTGTTTTGTTTTGTTTTCTGCTGAGTATTTTTATGAGACAATGTATCATGTGTTGTAGACTGTCCTCTAAATTGCTAGATAGCCTAGGGTTGACTTTGAACTCTTGATTCTTCACCTCCCAAATGCTGGGGTTACGAGCCTGCATTACCACCTCCAGGTGTGTGGTGCTGGAGGTTAAACCCAGAGCTTCATGCATGACAAGCAAGTAAATACTCTACCAACTGGTCCACATTCCCAGTCTTAGTATGATTTTTGAGAAGGGATCTTGTTCTGCTGTCCAGCTGGTTTCCAATTCCAGCCTCCAGAGTAGCTGAGACTAAAGGTTCAGCTTACTGCGCCTGGCTAGGCAGAACACAACTTTCTTCTATCTAGCCTCTGTTTAGTGTCAATCAATTGATATAGCTACCTGTCATTTAATCTTTGTCAATTATCTATCATTATCTATAGATTATCTACCATCTGTTATCTGTTATCTGTCATCTGTTATCTATCTATCTATCTATCTATCTATCTATCTATCTATCTATCTATCATCTATCTATCTATCTATCTATCATCTACCATCTATCTGTCCATTATCTATCTGTGGTGGTTTGGATGAGAATGGTCCTTCTTAGGCTGGTGCTGGACTATTTGCCATGGTAACGGAGAAGTGCAGCCTCATTGGAGGATGTATGTCACTGGGGTGGTCTTGCCTCACTCCCAGTTTGCTTTCTGTTTTCTCCATGTGGTTAGAGATGTGCTGTCTCTTGCTTCTGTCACAGTACCTGCTGCTTGCTGCCATGCCTTTTGGACTCTTACTCTCCTGGACCTGTAAATCCAAAATAAACACTTTCTTCTCTACATTTCTCTGGGCTATGGTGTTTGACCACAGCAGCCGAAACGCCTTTCTCCCCGAAGCTGCTTTGTCAGCTTTTTTCTCCCCCCAATCGTAACAACAGAAGAAAAACTAGGTCAGGGATGACGGGGGAAGCAGGGTCACTTGGACCCCTGTGTTCAAGGCTTCTAAGCACCTGGAGCAGAGAGGGACATGAGGGCAGCAGAGGAGTCTTGGATGCAGATGGCAGTTTCCTGGGAGGCTGGGCTCTGGGGAAGCTTGGCAGGTGCCCTGGATATGGGCAAGACCTGGACATGCCTGGCTAATATCTCGGCCCAGGGAACCTCAGCTAGCGCTGGCATGGCTGAGTGATAGTGTTAGAGAGAGGGCTGCTGGTTAGAGTACCAACAAGCTAAGATTTTACATGGGGATGCTTCTGTCCTTCCCTAGACATTCATTTTTGTTGCAGATGTTTGTTCTAGTTGCTGCTTGGCACCGAGTCCCACATGGTTTCCTTGGAGACGCTTTTAGAGATACCAAGATGCTACCATCTCCTGGCAGGGATGGCTTTCCCTAGGCACCCTCCTCCCAGTGATCAGTGTTCGGAGGGGATTCTGTTCATCTGGGTTGCTTCTGGCCTGTGCAGATGATTTTTGGGTGGCCCTATAATGATACCTCCCACCTGTCATTATGGAGCCCGGACACTCACACCTGCCCATCCCCGGGGACAGCGTGCTCAGCACAGCTGGCTGAATGATAGCGAAGAAAGCTTTCCCTTTTTAATTTTGAAACTTGCACCATCAGGCAGCAGGTAAGGAGGGGTCACTTTGACCAGTGATACTCTACTGAGACACACACTTGTGGCAAGACCCATAAATATATTTTTTAAAAATCCCAGTCTGGCCACTGGCCTTTAAGAACACCAGAATGTCCAATAACCACAGAGGGGAGGGAGGACACCAGCCCTCTTCTGGAGGTGTTGAAGGTGACCTATTTCCACCAGTCAGGGGTGGGGGGGGGGTGTGCAGCCAAGCCCGCTGAGCCATCTACTGGAGGAGCACACCCTCTGGTGTCCATTTGAGGGATGGCAAGTCATCTTCTTTAGGACCAGTTTCACTGAAGGTGATTTTCCCCCAACTTGAATCCTAAAAATAAAATTGAATCGAGCACCTATATATGTCTTTGCATGGCTGTGAGCAGTTTCTGCCCCATTTGGAAGGATAAGACCAGCATCCCAGGATGGGGGACTCCATGCCTGACTCCAGCCCCCAGGTGCGTCTGAAGGTCGCTGTGAGTTCACTAAGTGTGTACAAGGCTACCAAGCCACTCAGCTGTGTCCACTCATGTGAGACTGCACGCCAGCTCCTTTCATGCATGTTGCCCGCATTGCACTTGGCATATTTATTGGACCATATATGCCAATCTGGAGCAGGCAGCAAGTTGCCCATCACGTGCGGCATTAGCCCAGACAGATTCTTGAGCCAGAGTTAGACTGTGGCACTCCCTGGCATGGACTCTTCTGTATTGAACCTCCCTTGAGAAATAAGGTGATGAAGACAGCTGTGCACATCCCCTAAAACAGCGCCTCTGGGTGGTCAGTGAGGAGAGTTGCTGACTGGCATTCACTGGCATTCTGGAACTATCCAGGTTCTCTTGACAGGGAAGGCAGGTCTGCAGTTTCTCCACCATCGGCCTTTGGTTAGCCTGGGATCAGGGAGGATGGGATGAAGTGTTAGATTCTGGCCTTGGTGCTTTCAGGGGAAGAGCTCAGGGCCCCGTATCATCCCCTTGGTTACCACTGTTCCTCTAAGGTCCTGTCGGACTCCGATCTCCAAAAGGGCCCAGAGCATCCCTGGCAACTCTTCCCCGTTACTCCACCACTGTCACAGGACTCATGGCTAAAGAGACACAAGTGGTCTTGCTGCCTGGTGACAGCCAGACTTCAAGTAGCCCCGCCGCAGCCACAGGAGTCAAGTCTCACAATAGCACAGCCCTTCCAGAGCCTTTTTTTTTTTTTTTTTTTTTTTTTTGCCACTTTTAATAATGAATATGGGGTTCTGGCACCACCAACTGGCCACAAAAGCCATGTTGGCTGTTGGGACAAGTGAAAGGCTTAGGTACCCACTTCCATGAAGCCCTTCAACAGAAGTTACCTGTTCCTCTGTAATGTTGGCATCTGTTGGTGTTGGGCATCTGTACTCTGCACTTGGAAGGCTGAGGTAGGAAGATTGGGAGTTTGAGGCCAGCTCAGCTGCATGGCAAGACCCTGCGTCCAAAAAATAAAATAAAATAAATAAAACAAAAGAACCAAGGACTGGGGCTGGGGAGGTGGCTCAAGTGGCTAAGAGCACCGTCTGTTTTTCTGGAGGCTTAGGTTCTAGTTCCAGCACCCACAAGGCAGCTCACCATCATCTATAACTCCAGTCCCAGTGTCCAGTGCCTTCTCGTGACCTCCACAGGCACTGCACACATGTGGTGCACAGACATACATGCAGGTAGAACACCCACATACACTAAAGAATAAATAAGTTAAAAATAAATCTCTCTCTCTCATCGCGGGGGGGGGGGGGGAGGAAGGATAGCAGGTAATCTTTACCTTCCCATGTGTGTGTTAGTGTGTCCATGTGACGGCTGTATATATTTATACTCGTGTGTGAAGATGTGTGAGGGTGTGTGTACTCTCACACATTGTATTTCTTGATATGGGATGTAGTCACAGTGGCCACTGGATCAAAGGACTGAGCTCACTACTGGCGGATGTGGCTCAGTGGTAGGCCACTTAACTAGAATGATGGCCTGGACCCAATCCCTGCAGTGGGGACCAAAAAGGACTGAACTCAATCCATCTCCCAAAGTCAAGTCTGGCTTTGATGTCACTTGTCACCAGTGAGGCACACGAAGTGACCCACTGTTGCTGGCTATTGACTGGAGATAGAAGCTCAGAGGTTGGGACCAATGAGTGATGTGAGGACTTGGGGTAGAACTATCTGAATTGCTGCGTCCCAACTGTCTCCTCTGTGAGGATCTTGATGTGCTCTGATTCTCAGGACTCTTGCCCTGCTCTGGCTTATGGACAGCTCCCCTCCCACGCTCTCAAAAATATAAGAACAACTACAGACAAACCAACTTTTTAAGATTATACAAAGCAGCAGGTGACTAAGCCAGGCCTAATTCAGAAACTTGAGAGGACTATGAATGAAAAAAAAAAAAAGAAAGGTAAAACTGGGTGGTGGTGGCGCATGCCTTTAACCCCAGCACTTGGGAGGCAGAGGCAGGCGGATCTCTGAGTTCAATGCCAGCCTGGTCTATGATGCGAGTTCCAGGACAGCTAGGGCTGTTACACAGAGAAATCCTATCTCGAAAAACAAACAAACAAAACAAGGTAGAAGTGAGTGAATGCTGGCCATAGATTAGGATAGACAAGTCCCTGGGCCATGTTAGCAGAAGCGCTTGTGAAGAAAAGCTAATACCGAGCTGAGTTTGTCAGCACACACCTGTAAGTTTGCTAGCACACACCTGTAAGTTTGCTAGCACACACCTGTAAGTTTGCTAGCACACACCTGTAATCTCAGCATTTGGAAGGCCGAGGCAGGAGGGTCACCATGAGTTAGAGGTCAGCCTGGGCCATATAGGGTTTGCCAGGCCAGGTTAGTGAAACCGTGTCTCAGAAAGCAAAGACTAAAACAGAAGAGACAGTGAAATGGCTCCGTGGATAGGGTGCCTGCTGCCAAGCTGATGGATGACCCGAGTTCAGTCTTTGGATCCACACAGCTGAAGGAGAAAACTGATTCCACGAAGTTGTCCTCTTACCTCCCCATGCGAGCCATGGCGAGCGTGCATATCCACACACACAACAAAAATAGGGCTGGAGAGATGTGTCAAAGGTCGAGAGCACTGACTGCTCTTCCAGAGGTTCTCAGTTCAATTCGGAGCAACCATGCAGCAGCTCACAATCATCTATAATGGGATCTGGTGCCCTCTTCTGGTTTGCAGACATACATGCAGGCTGAACACCATGTACATAATAAATAAACAAATCTTTTAAAAAAGTTTAAAAATTAAGAAAAATGCTATCATCTACATTAGAAACAAACAAGAAAGCTAACATTTGCTTATAAAAATTACTTCTTTCAAATGAGGACCAGTGTGGTAACTAACACTTTCCTGTGATCCAAGTGCTGGGGAGGTAGAGGTAGGGGGATTAGGAGCTCAAGGCCCAGTGTTGGCTGCATCGTGAGTTGAAGGCCAGCCTGGACCACATGAGATTGTCTCAAAAACACAAGCAAGCGAACAACCAAACAAATAATCAAAGAGGACTCACGCGACTTCAAGTTGTCACAGACAGCGGAAAGTCCTTATGAGAAGCTCCTTTACCCTAGGACCCCTGAAAAGATACTGACTCCATTTCATTCTGCAACATAGTAATATTGTGCCACAAAATAAGAACACAAAAGCAGAGCTGGCCAGATGGCTCAGCAAGCCAAGGGTGCTTGCTGCCAAGTCTGACGACTCACGACCCTGGAAGGAGAGAACTGGCTCCCACAAGGTGTCCCTGACCTGCACACACGATGCAACACATACATACACACATAGACAAATAATTAAAAACGTAAAGAGACTATAAAAGCAAAGATATAGAAGTCAGGAAGGGAGAAATTAAAGCGCCATCTCTATTTGTGGGGTGCAGAAGGCGTTGGTAAATTGCACCTTTGGCAACATCTGGCTACTTCCAGTATTGGGCAGAGTATTCTGGTTTCTTCAGAGCAAGTTTGCCAGCTCCTGGGTTGCAGGCTCCTTTTAACGGAAAAGACGGGGAAGTGCAGTAGATCACTCACCAACAGCATTGCTTCGTGCAGCTGTGGCTGTGCATCTGCTGTCTGAGAATATTAATTGGGAATTTCCGAATGTGAGCTGTTCTGAGGAGTGTGGTGGGAGCTGGCACCGTAGCTCTGACCTGAGCAGGCTCAGAATGACCCTCGTGTCTAACTCATGAAGTTTCTATAGTTCTTAGCTTGGCTGCTGTAGGACCACAAAGCCTGGCTCAGTGACCCTGTTCAGTGTATACTAGCCCAAAACGAGGTGGCATCAATGTGTGCCATTCAGACCTGACAGAGAGAAGCTGGAAACGCATCTAAGGAGGCTCTTCCCTTAGTGAAGAGCTTGTGTTGACTCCAGTAAAGTCTACTGAACAGCACGTTATTTCAAAAGAAGGAAAGAGGCTGGGAAGTGGAGCTGCACACCTTTAACCCCAGCACTCATGAGGCAGAGGCAGGTGGATCTCCATGAGTTTGAGGCCAGCTTGGTCTACAGAGTGAATTCCAGGACAACCAGGGCTACACAGAAAAACTCTATCTCAAAAAATAAAACAAAACAAACAAATATTACATAGCTTATTGAAAGGCATCTTAAAGCGGTAACATTCCTCGTCTCCAGAATTTTTGCTCAAGGGCAGGGGGAGTTAGGTAATACCTACCACCCACCTTCTAAGGTTTCCATTATCAACCAGAGTTCGAGTCCACCAAAGTTTCCCTACAGAGACGATGAGTTTACTGGGCTTTTACTTATAGGGCATGGGTGAGGACCGTAAAAGCCATGGAGAGCCTGCACCCACTGTGGGTGATGGCCTCCCTTCCCTTTCTGTGAGGGAACACCAACAGTCAACAAGCCCAGTGAGGTGATCTTTGCAAGCAGACCTTCCGCGGAACACCTGAAGACAGTGGTCACTTGGCTCAGAGGACAGTCTAGCCCAACACCAGCATTTTCCTTCCTCTGCTTATTGGTCCACCAGGATGGAATGGAGGAAATATTTATAAATCATGTATCCGATAAGAGGTTAGTGCTGAGAATATAAAAAGAGTATCTGCCACTCAACAGTTAAGAAACCAACAAAAATAAGGGCGGATTCAAACAAACCTTTCTTCAGAGGAAGCACAGGAGTGGCCAAATAAGCGGCGAGAAGACACCAGCTTCATTTGTAGTTGATGTGACGGTTCATCTCCAGTGTCAGCATGGCTGGAACTAGAATCACCTGGAAGGCACACCTCTAGATGTGTCTGAGAGAGCTGCCCTGAATGTGGGGGATACCCTCTCATAGGCTAGAGACCCCCGTGGATAAAAGGGGAAAGGGGGGGAAGCTAGCAGAGCTGTCTCAGCTTCCTGACCCACCGCACACCTTCCCCACCATGTCAGCTGAGCCCCTAGAACTGGGTAAGTAAAGCAGGCCTTTTCCTCTTTTCTGCTGCTTCTGTCGGGTGACGCAGAAGGGATTATAAATGGGAAATAGCACTCATTAGAGCAGCCACTGTGAAAACGGAAGGTGTGGCTGAGGAGGTGAAGAAACTGGAAGTTTTATGCACTGTTGTGGGAAAGGAAAATGGGGCAGCTCCTGTCGGGGTGGATTAAAAACAAATCATTTTATATCTTTCAAATCTACTTCTATGCCCCAAAGACTTGAAGGCAGGCATTGGCTAGGGAGCTGCCCGTGTAGACAAGCGGTGTATACCTGTGCATATAGCAGCCGCAACAGCCAAACGGTGGAGGTAAATCACGTGTCCATCACTGGGTGAATGTATATACAGGATATACAGGATGTGGTACTTATGCTGTGGCTGGTGTGGCTTGTCCCTCAAAGGTCCGAGTTCTGGAAACTTGGTTTGTGATGACGTTAGGTGGTTGGACCTGGAAGAGGTAGGGTTTGGTAGGAAGGCTGGGTTTTCTCTCTCTCTCTCTCTCTCTCTCTCTCTCTCTCTCTCTCTCTCTCTT